CGGTGCAAGGACTGTACCTTGAGGTACAGAGCTTTTAACATCGGTTGGACTCGATTTTATCTGATTGACTGTTACTCTTTGTGTTCTGTTCGACAGGAAATTGAGTATCCAGCATCATACTTTTCCAGTTATTCCCATTGACCTCATTTTGTGAGCTATCACCCCATGGTCACATTTGTCGAACGCCTTTGCAAAGTCTGTGTATACAACATCTGCATTTTGCTTTTCTTCTAGGGCTTCTGTGATTTTGTCATAGTGGTTGAGTAACTGTGACAGACAGGATCTTCCCGCTCTAAATCCATGTTGTCCTGGATTGTACAATTCATTGTTTTCCATAAAACTAGAAATTTGATTCCTAATCTCTCTTTCAAACACTTTTATTATGTGTGATGTTAGTGCAACTGGCCTATAATTTTTTGCCAAGGCTTTATTCCCCCCCCCCCTTTGTGCAACGGAGCTATATCTGCAGATTTAAGTGCTGCTGGTATCTCCCCTGTATCCAGGCTCTTTCTCCATATTACGCTGAGTGCTCTCGCTACTGGTACTTTACATTTCTTTATGAATATGGAATTCCATGAGTCAGGCCCAGGAGCTGAGTGCATGGGCATATTGTCAATTTCTCTTTCAAAGTCTTCCGTGTTTGTGGTAATATCCGTTATATTATCTGCAGCTTGAATGTCATTCATAAAGAAGCTGTCTGGGTCATCAATTTTCATGTTTATTGGTGTGCTAAACATAGCCTCTTACTGGCTTCTTAGAATTTCACTAATCTCTTTGTTGTCCTCTGTGTACGTACCTTCATTTGTTATTAACGGTCCAATACTGGTCGAGGTTTTGGATTTTGATTTTGCGTATGTGAAAAAATATTTCAGATTTTTGCTTATCTCTTGTATAGCTTTCTGTTCCAATTCCATTTCCTCACTCATATGATCGCTTCAACGTTTGTTCTATTTCTTCGATCTCCCTGCTTAGGCTCGTTTTCCTTGCTTGTGATAGTTGTGTCTGCCGAAGCATTTCCGTGATTTTTTTTCTTCTGTACAGTCGTCTGCGTTCTCTTTCTAGAGTGGTCCTCTTTCTGCCCCTCCTCACAGGCACGTGCTTCAAGCAGACCTTGTAAGCTTCAGCTGTCAGTTGAGCTATTCCCTGTGTGAGAGTTTTGTCGCTTAAGACCGTCTCCCATTGAATAGTTGCAAGGTCTACATTTATTTTTTCCCAGTCAATCCTCTTATTGCTGAAATTGAATTGATTGAATATTCCTTCTCGCTTGTTGGGTCTCTTAGACCTACTACCGTTATTTATGCTAGTTCGCACTTCAATGAGCTTATGGTCTGAGTATGATGTATATGTATTTGAGTATGATTGTGATGTCTCTGATTAGTTCATCGTTGTTTGTGAATAACAAGTCTAGTGTGTTTTCGTTCCTAGTTGGTTCTGTAATCTGTTGATTGAGCGAGAATTTGTCACAGAATCTCAAAAGTTCTCTGACCTGTGGTTGGTTATTTCCCGGGTCATTCCCTGCTATGATATTTGTGTTTGCCATTCTCCATCTTAGACTCGGTAAATTGAAATCTCCAAGGAAGATAATATCTGGAGCTGGGTTTGCTGGGTTATCAAGTATGTTCTCTATTTTGTGCATCTGCTCTGTGAATTCCTCAACCGTTGTATCTGGCGGTTTATATATTAGAATAATAATTAGGTTTAGTTTCTCTACCTTAATTCCAAGTACCTCTACCACCTCATTAGTTGAGTTTAGTAGAGTTTAGTTCTGTGCATACCAGGTCTTCTTTAATATACAGACCTACTCCTCCATTTGACCTAGTTTTTCTATCACATCTATATAAATTATAATTTGGAATCCAGATTTCACCATCCATGTAATCTTGTGTATGAGTTTCCGTGAATGCCCCAAATATTGAGTTTGACTCTAATAGGAGGCCTATTATGAACTTAACTTTATTTCTTGACTTTGGCTTTAAACCTTAAATGTTTGCAAATATGAATGATTGTCCATATTGTGTGTCACTTCTGGAAGGTTTTGGTGGTTCTCCCTCCTCTCTACCCTGACCCAGGGTGTGTTGTTGTGGCAATGGTTTGTCCAGTTTTGGAAGTGATACTGGGGAGTGTGGTAGTCTCTGTGTAGTTGGGGGGTGTAGTATGTGTGGGCTTGATGACGAACCGTAGTCCAGTCTTGGGCATTTCCCCCCTCTCCATCCGTACTCCTGCCACGTTTCTGCCTGTCTGTTTCTCCCTCTGTTTGTACCTGCCTGTAAAAAATTTTCAGGGCTATTATATTAGACTTCCTCTCTTATACAGCGCTGTTTACCTCTGACGTGGAAATCGGGGCAATGAAGATCGTAGCATTTCCTCTCATTAACCGAGAGTTTGCATAACTTAGGGTGAAAATATCTACACACTGTATCAAAACGACATCTGCCTTTCCCTAACCAGTTTCGGCATTTCCGTGGGTGCATGAATGAGCATTCCGTGCCTCTGGGCCCATATCTGCACTGTCCTTTTGCATAATACCTGCAAATATTTTCATTTGTGATTGTATTATTCTTGTTTGTACCCGTGCATGACTTGGCTACCTCTGTGTTTTTTGTTCCAACTTTCTCGTTTCTGCATTCATTCTCGGTATTGCCCTTATCTTTCTCCTTGTTGCTTTCGTCTTTCTCATTTGTGTTCTCATTCGTCTCATTTTTTCTCTCCTTATTCATATCACCAGTTTGCTCTACACTATTGCCTTCATTTTTGTGTACCTCGACACTATACCCGTCTACATTGCTACTTTGACTCTCTAAATTCTCAGCTCCTTGTCTCATATCCCAGCTCCTTGTCCTCATATCCCAGCTCCTTGTCTCATATCCCAGCTCCTTGTCTCATATCCCAGCTCCTTGTCCTCATATCCCTGATCCTAGTCCTCACATCCCAGCTCCTTGTCTCATATCCCAGCTCCTTGTCTCATATCCCAGCTCCTTGTCCTCATATCCCTGATCCTAGTCCTCACATCCCAGCTTCTTGTACTCACCACACCACACAGAACTCATATCTTCACTATACTACACCACTTGTCACTATACTCGTCACCACACAGTACTCATGCCTTCACTATACTACACAATTCACTATATTCGTCACCACACAGTACTCATACCTTCACTATACTACACCACCCGTCACTATAATCGTCACTACACAGTACTCATACCTTTACTATACTACACCACTCGTCACTACACAGTACTCCTGTATGCACTATACTACACCACTCGTCACTACACAGTACTCCTGTATGCACTATACTACACCACTCGTCACTATATCAGTCACTACACTACGCTTGTATGCACTATACTACACCACTTGTCACTATACCTATCACCAAACAGTACTCATGCCTTCACTATACTACACCACTCCTCACTATCCGTCACCATACAGTACTCATGCCTTCACTATACTACACAACTCATCACTATACCCGTCACCACACAGTTCTCATACCTTCACTATACTACAGCACTTGTCACTATACCCATCACTAAACAGTACTCATGTCTTCACTATATCCGTCACCACACAGTACTCATGCCTTCACTATACTATACAACTCGTCACTATAAGTGTCACCACACAGTACTCATGCCTTCACTATACTACAGCACCCGTCACTATATCAGTCACTACACAGTACTCTTATATGCACTATACTACACCACCTGTCACTACACAGTACTCTTGTATGCACTATACTACACCACCCGTCACTATATCAGTCACTACACAGTACTCTTGATGCACTATACCCGTCACTATATCAGTCACTACACAGTAGTCTTGTATGCACTATACTACACCACCCGTCACTATATCAATCACTACACAGTACTCTTGTATGCACTATACTACACCACCCGTCACTATATCAGTCACTACACAGTACTCTTGATGCACTATACCCGTCACTATATCAGTCACTACACAGTAGTCTTGTATGCACTATACTACACCACCCGTCACTATATCAATCACTACACAGTACTCTTGTATGCACTATACTACACCACCCGTCACTATATCAGTCACTACACAGTACTCTTGATGCACTATACCCGTCACTATATCAGTCACCACACAGTACTCATGCCTTTACTATACTACAGCACCTCACTATACCCGTCACCACACAGTACTCATGCCTTCACTATACTACAAAACTCGTCACTATTCGTCACCACAGTACTCATGCCTTCACTATACACCACCACCTCATTATACCTGTCACCACGCAGTACTCATACCTTCACTATACTACACAACTCATCACTATATCAGTCACTACACAGTACTCATGTCTTCACTATACTACACCACCCGTCACTATATCAGTCACTACACAGTACTCTTGATGCACTATACCCGTCACTATATCAGTCACTACACAGTACTCTTGTATGCACTTCACTACACCACCCGTCACTATATCAGTCACTACACAGTACTCATGCCTTCACTATACTACACCACCTCATTATACCTGTCACCACACAGTACTCATACCTTCACTATACTGCACCACTCGTCACTATACCTGTCACCACACAGTACTCATGCCTTCACTATACTACACAACCCGTCACTATATCAGTCACTACACAGTACTCATGTCTTCACTATACTACACCACCCGTCACTATATCAGTCACTACACAGTACTCTTGTGTCCCATCCCAAATCCTTATCCTGACTCCTTCCAAGTGTTATATAGTCGAAATGGCTACTCGCTTTCCCATGATAATTCCTTTCCTGATATTTGATGATCTGATATCATACCATATATCCACTCACCATCTGAGCTAACTAATTATGAGCGCGTGTGTGATATGAAGCAGAGATGGAGCAGTCAACAGGGCCATATTAGTATCTTTTTATTATCTGGTGTCATTCACTCATATCATTTAGTATCTGGTATCATCTAGAATATCTGGTAGAGAGTTTCAATGGGGTTCTTAAAGTGGCTCAAGAAGCTCTTCGGCCGCTGCTTCAGTTGCTGTTCGGACGGAGACGAAGGGAAACAGTCTCCTTCAGAACTTAGGCTGGCGAATGAGCAGAGTCCCGGCGATGTGACCCAACTATTTAGCTCCGAATTGGAACAGGAGGTCCAGAGCGGTCTGGGCGAGGGGCAGGAACCGGACTGGGAGCTCCAGGGCGAGCCCTGGACCGGGCTGGAACCAGACTGGGAGCTCCAGGGCGAGGGACTGGAACCAGACTGTGAGTTCCAGGGCGAGGGGCTGGAACCGGACTGGGAGCTCCAGGGCGAGGGGCAGGAACCAGACTGTGAGTTCCAGGGCGAGGGGCTGGAACCGGACTGGAAGTTCCAGGGCGAGCCCTGGACCGAGCTGGAACCGGAGTGGGAGCTCCAGGGCGAGGGGCAGGAACCAGACAAGGAACTCCAGGGCGAGGGGCAGGAACCAGACTGTGAGTTCCAGGGCGAGGGGCAGGAACCAGACTGTGAGTTCCAGGGCGAGGGGCAGGAACCAGACTGTGAGTTCCAGGGCGAGGGGCAGGAACCAGACTGGGAGTTCCAGGGCGAGGGGCAGGAACCAGACTGGGAGCTCCAGGGCGAGGGGCAGGAACCAGACTGTGAGTTCCAGGGCGAGGGGCAGGAACCAGACTGTGAGTTCCAGGGCGAGGGGCAGGAACCAGACTGGGAGCTCCAGGGCGAGGGGCAGGAACCAGACTGGGAGCTCCAGGGCGAGGGGCAGGAACCAGACTGGGAGCTCCAGGGCGAGGGGCAGGAACCAGACTGTGAGTTCCAGGGCGAGGGGCAGGAACCAGACAAGGAGCTCCAGGGCGAGGGGCTGGAACCAGACTGTGAGTTCCAGGGCGAGGGGCAGGAACCAGACAAGGAGCTCCAGGGCGAGGGGCAGGAACCAGACTGTGAGTTCCAGGGCGAGGGGCAGGAACCAGACTGGGAGCTCCAGGGCGAGGGGCAGGAACCAGACTAGGAGCTCCAGGGCGAGGGGCAGGAACCAGACTGGGAGCTCCAGGGCGAGGGGCAGGAACCGGACTGGGAGCTCCAGGGCGAGGGGCAGGAACCAGACTGTGAGTTCCAGGGCGAGGGGCAGGAACCGGACTGGAAGTTCCAGGGCGAGCCCTGGACCGAGCTGGAACCGGAGTGGGAGCTCCAGGGCGAGGGGCAGGAACCAGACAAGGAGCTCCAGGGCGAGGGGCAGGAACCAGACTGGGAGCTCCAGGGCGAGGGGCAGGAACCAGACTGGGAGCTCCAGGGCGAGGGGCAGGAGCCGGACCGGGTGGACCAGAGCGGTCCGGGCGAAGCGGTGCCGCTCGGGGTGTCAAGACTCTTGTAGGAATAGGCAGAATATTTTAAACAATTGAAAAAGATAAAAAAGGCAATCCGGAACAATAAAAAGAAAATATACCAGGAGCTTCGGGAGAAGCTGGCGAAGGGGGGAAATTCAAGATATTGACCCGAAACATCTTCAAGCAATTGAAAGGTTTAACCAAAAGCGTTGAGTTACCTGAGTTACCTTGACAGTGGCTCAAGGCGCCGCCACAGCCCCCCGTACCTCACTAAAAGTGTACAATTACCAAAGTGCAGTTACAGGATGAGAGCCACGCTCGTAGAGTCCTGTTTTAGTATTCTTTATCATGTAAAGTTTTGAAACTACTGCTGGTTTTTGGCCTCCACCACCACCACCACCTCACCTAACTTGTTCCAACCGTCTACCACTGTTACCTTTGTGTCTTCGGCAGCTTTGTTTAGTTAGTTTAAATCTATGACCTCTAGTTCCTGAAATTCCAGGTCTCAGGAAATCTGCACCATCAATTTTATCGATTCCTGTTACTATTTTGTGTGTGTGTGTGTGTGTTCAACCCGTCTTCTTAAAAATAACGTCGCTTTTCGCTCGTATGCGCGCTATGGCCAAAAATGGACGTAATGTGAAATGAAATCGGCTCACGAAAGTGATGTACTGTCCCGTTTTCTGTTCGAGTCCTCCAGCTTACTCGGTTAGGTTAGGAGAGGAAACTTTCAATTAACGTTTTGAAACCCTCCTGCCCTGTCCAACCACTTGGGCTGGACGGTAGAGCGATGGTCTCGCTTCATGCAGGTCGGCGTTCAATCCCCGACCATCCAAATGGTTGGTCACCATTCCTTCCCTTTTTTCTTTTCCCAACTCCTTATCCTTATAACCCTTCCCCCGTCCCACCCCAAATCCTAATCCTGATCCCTTCCTAGTGCTATATAGTCGTTATGACTTGGCACTTTCCCCCTTATAATGCAATTCAATTCCTAACTTACCAGAGGACCCTCAACTTGCTGTTTTGACGAGAAAAAAAATCCAAAATATATGTTTGGAAATCCTCCCCCCCCCCATAAGTGTTGATACATCATCCACTGTGTCACTTGAAGACCATCTGAGAGTCGAACCGGTTTGGCTTTCTGGCCAGCGAGCCTGGGAGGAGGTCATTATATGGACCTGGTGAGTCTTGCTTATAAGTAGACACAGCTGTCATTCTTGAAGCTGAGGAAGATCATAGGGAGGGTAGGCCTATGGCTGCCGGGCGCTAGCAGATAATATGGGGTGTTTGGGTAGGGGGCAGGTGTTTGGGTAGGGGGCGGGTGTTTGGGTAGGGGGAGGGTGTTTGGGTAGGGGGCAGGTGTTTGGGTAGGGGGAGGGTGTTTAGGTAGGGGGCAGGTGTTTGGGTCTCTCTGCGTCTTGTGAGCCTGCAAAGGATTCTGTCTTATGGGTTTCGAGGCCTTAGTGTCACGGCTTGTATTGTAGGACCCGAGCAGCCAGCCAGCCAGCCAGCCAGCCAGCCAGCCAGCCAGCCAGCCAGCCAGCCAGCCAGCCAGCCAGCCAGCCAGCCAGCCCTTAAGGTGGAGGATTTGGGGACCTGAAAAAAGGAATTCTTGGCATTCCTTGAAGCTGTGGGTTTTCTTTACCTGGTTTTACCTGGAATTATTGCTGTGCTTGTGGGTTCTATGTTAGAATTAAGTTATTTTTTTTTGCTTTAATGTGGGTTAATTTTGAGTAGAAGGTGTTTGAAGTAAATATTAGCTGGGTTGTTTGTAGTATATTATTAGCCTTTGTTAATGGTTTAAAATGTGGGGTCCTTCCCCCCCCCCCCTTGTTGTTTAGATCCCAGGTGAGGTGTGTTGAGGCAGGTGAGGTGGTGAGGGGAGATGAGGGAGTGAGGGGAGATGAGGGGTTCCCGAGTGTTCAAGAGGTGCAGGGAGAGTGTGAGGGGAAGATGAGGGAGTGTGGGGGATGAGGGGGCGGGAGAGTGAGGGGGGGGGGGGTTCAAGGGGAGGGGGAGGAGTCTCATTTCGCAGTTTTTGCCCTAATAAGCTCTGTGGGGGGGGGGGGGGGTAGCAGGGACAGGTGTTGCAATAGGCCTACATGCAACACGGGTGTCTGCAACAGGTGCACATCAGCAACTGTCACGTATTTCCCCCCCCCCTCCCTCCCTTCTCTTGAACTGTCTTGTCTCCCATTCTGGTTTTCTTAACATATCTTCCTTCCTCTCCCGGTTCGACTCCCCCCCCCCCGTCTCCCTTCCTATGCATCCTTCCCAACCTCCCATCCCATCCTGCCCTCCCTCTCTTCCTCCCTCCCTGCCCTGGCCTCTACTGCGCGCGCGCGCGCGCGCACACACACACACACACACACACACACACACACACACACACACACACACACACACACACACACACACACACACACACACACACACACACTTCTATACAAATATTTACTGTTACTGTTTTCCTTATGTACAGGCTCTTCCCTCCCATCTCCTCTTTTCTTCTGTCCCCTCTCTGTGCATTATCCTACCTTCTCTTCCTGTCTCCCCTCCCCCCCCCCCACACACACTAGGGGTGTGGTAGCTGAGCGGACATCGCGCAGGATTCGTAATTCTGTGGCCAGCGTTCGATTCCCGGACCAGGCAGAAACAAATGGGCAAAGTTTCTTTCACCCTGAATGCCCCTGTTACCTAGCAGTAAATAGGTACCTGAGGGTTAGACAGCTGTTACGGAGCTGCTTCCTTGTGTGTGTACTCACCTATTTATACTCACCTATTTGTGCTTGCGGGGGTTGAGCTTTGGTTCTTTGGTCCCGCCTCTGAACTGTCAATCAACTGCTGTACAGGTTCCTGAGCCTACTGGGCTCTATCATATCTACATTTGAAACTGTGTATGGAGTCAGCCTCCACCACATCACTGCCTAATGCATTCCATCTGTTAACTACTCTGACACTGAAAAAGTTCCTTCTAACGTCTCTGTGGCTCATGTGGGTACTCAGTTTCCACCTGTGTCCCCTTGTTCGCGTCCCACCCGTGTTGAATAGTTTGTCCTTGTTTACCCGGTCGATTCCTCTGAGGATTTTGTAGGTTGTGATCATGTCTCCCCTTACTCTTCTGTCTTCCAGTGTCGTAAGGTGCATTTCCCGCAGCTTTTCCTCGTAACTCGTGTGTGTGTGTGTGCGTGCGTGCGTGCGTGCGTGCGAGCGAGTGTCCGTACGTGCTCAAAGCCTGTTCATATGTCTCGTCCCTTGAGTGTGTATGCATACGTGTGCGGGGAGGAGTTGGGGGAGAGGGGGGGGGGGAGTTGCGTGTGCGTGTCTGAAACTGGTAACGAGTAGTTAAGCTGCAAATCACACGTTGACAGGTTCCCACACTCCCGTACCTCCCCCCCCCCATCCCCCTACTGAGGAAACAAGTGGAATATGAGGAAAAAAAATCCTTCTTTCCCTGCTTCGTTCCCCTTCCATTTCGTCCTTTCCCTTGTATTCCTCCCCTTCCCCTTGTACTCCCCCCTTCCCCTTGTACTCCCCCCTTCCCCCTCCCCCCTTCCCCCCCATTCCCCATCCCTCACCCGCAAACTACCCCGAACCACAATTCAGTCTGTGACCGCAAGAACCACATTACGAAACCAGACCACCGCCGCCGCCACCACATATAATAACTCCCATCCCATTCACTAAACACTGACCCCCTTTCCCGCCAGACCCCCGTCACACCTGCCCTTCCCAGCGGGTTTCTGGCTCTCATAAGGCGGTCGGGTTATGCGGGGTCCGCTGTAGCGCGGTCTAGCCTGGAGCGGAGGTGCCGTATAAGGACCAGTGAGTCATCAGCTGCGGGACAACATTAAGCGGAGAGGACGCCGGCACAACAGCCTAAGGCGGGAAGGCTTAATTAATGTAAAAAAAAAAAAAATTAATGGATTTCAGAGTGGCAGGTGGATAGGGAGATGCGGGGGCGGGGGGGGGGGGGCGGTGAGGTAGCTTTTCTAATAGTGTTTACCTATCTGTGTCGACGGAGAAAGTCGGGTCTAGCTCTGTACTCCGACTCGTGGACATTTTAACCCGAGGGTCATTATCTCTCTCTCTCTTGGGAGGGGGGGGGTCACAACGGGGACAGGAAGCCTGCGGCTTGTCAAAGGTTGGCCCCCCCCTCCCTCTCACTCTGCCCCCTCCCCCCTCTCTCTACCGCTCCCCCCTCACTCTGCCCCCCCCTCCCTCCCCCCCAACCTCTCTGTCAATATTTGTACTATGGGGCACATAGTTACAAAAACTACTATCTAAACAGAAGGATCGGTTGCAAAATTATATTTATGCACGCGGCTTGCTATCATTGCTTGCTATCATTGCTTGCTATCATTGCTTGCTATCATTGCTTCCTATCATTGCTTCCTATCATTGCTTCCTATCATTGCTTGCTATCATTGCTTCCTATCATTGCTTCCTATCATTGCTTCCTATCATTGCTTCCTATCATTGCTTGCTATCATTGCTTGCTATCATTGCTTGCTATCATTGCTTGCTATCATTGCTTGCTATCATTGCTTCCTATCATTGCTTCCTATCATTGCTTCCTATCATTGCTTCCTATCATTGCTTCCTATCATTGCTTCCTATCATTGCTTCCTATCATTGCTTCCTATCATTGCTTCCTATCATTGCTTCCTATCATTGCTTCCTATCATTGCTTCCTATCATTGCTTGCTATCATTGTTTCCTATCATTGCTTGCTATCATTGCTTCCTATCATTGCCTCCTATCATTGCTTCCTATCATTGCTTCCTATCATTGCTTCCTATCATTGCTTGCTATCATTGCTTGCTATCATTGCTTGCTATCATTGCTTCCTATCATTGCTTGCTATCACTCTCAGTTGCATATGTTGATTAATACAGGTGTGTGAGGCAAGTCACCTCAACACCTGTAATTAATCAACAAGCCTTCAGTACGCAAATTAACACAGATTATTGTATTTTTACCGCTATGACTATCATAGTCTGCAACAGCCGCAGTCTCGTGCGTTAAATCGAAATTGATGAAATGAGCAAAGAAAACTTTTGTAGTCTAAAGCCCAATCACTTAATACTGTCAGTGTCTACAAGAGTCAGTCACATAAGGCCATTAGTGAGTCTACAAAAGTTGCCTTTAACAGACAATCCTTAGAAACGCTGGATTTTTTTTTTGACAAATTGTAGCACGCTGTTAATATTAGTTTTTTCCTGAAACTTTTTTTTAGTTTTCAGTTATAAATGGGTACAATATTTCTGTGTTCCTGACACATTGGGTGTGGAGGGTGACGGTGGGTGTGGAGGGTGACGGTGGGCGTGGAGGGTGACGGTGGGCGTGGAGGGTGACGGTGGGCGTGGAAGGTGACGGTGGGCGTGGAGGGTGACGGTGGGCGTGGAGGGTGACGGTGGTAGTGGAGGGTGACGGTGGGCGTGGAGGGTGACGGTGGGCGTGGAGGGTGACGGTGGTAGTGGAGGGTGACGGTGGGCGTGGAGGGTGACGGTGGTAGTGGAGGGTGACGGTGGGCGTGGAGGGTGACGGTGGGCGTGGAGGGTGACGGTGGGCGTGGAGGGTGACGGTGGGCGTGGAGGGTGACGGTGGTAGTGGAGGGTGACGGTGGGCGTGGAGGGTGACGGTGGGCGTGGAGGGTGACGGTGGTAGTGGAGGGTGACGGCGGGCGTGGAGGCTGACGGCGGGCGTGGAGGCTGACGGCGGGCGTGGAGGCTGACGGCGGGCGTGGAGGCTGACGGCGGGCGTGGAGGCTGACGGCGGGCGTGGAGGCTGACGGCGGGCGTGGAGGCTGACGGCGGGTGTGGGGGCTGACAGCGGGCGTGGAGGCTGACAGCGGGCGTGGAGGCTGACAGCGGGTGTGGAGGCTGACAGCGGGTGTGGAGGCTGACAGCGGGCGTGGAGGCTGACAGCGGGCGTGGAGGCTGACAGCGGGTGTGTGGAGGCTGACAGCGGGCGTGGATGGTAACAAGGTATAATGCCAGAGAAACTATACTTAAGACTTTTGGCCAGCAAGACCAGACTTCATAACACACACTTACCATTGCGATAAAGGACTGACAGGTGTAAAAAAAACAGCATTAAGCTTTACCAGAGCTGACAGAGTTCGTTCCCCCAAAGCTTATTTATCCAGCCAGTGTTATAATGAAAGAAAGCTTAATACGAGTCCCCCACTAACCGAGAATTCCCTGGAATGTTGGGTACAATGAAGCTGTGTTCTCTAGACCACACCTTGTGGGGTAGGTGTTGTGTTGGGGGTGTGTTGGGGGGTGGTCTGTCCTGGTCCAGGGATGGGACTCCCTCTTGGGTGTTCTGGTCTGATGATGGGGTGTTTGGGTCTCTCTCTCTCTCTCTCTCTCTCTCCCTCCCTCCCTCCCTCCCTCCCTCCCTCCCTCCCTCCCCCCCCTCTCCCCCTTCCCTCCCCCTTCCCTCCCCCTTCCCTCCCCCCCTCTGCCTTCACCATTTTCATTTCATTCATCATTTTACAGTGAGGATGGCTTTGTTTTTTTTATTTTGCTCATTTAAATGATAATCTAATTTAAGGAAATTGTAGGGTAACTGGGGGGCTCGACCCCCAACCCACCCTATGTACTGGCTAGAATTCACATCATTTACCCCGCTAAATTTGTTCAAAGTAGGCAGCCAGAGACTTGGTTGTCTACTTTGAACAAACAAACATTGTCTCTTATTGATATAGACTAGGGAGCATCCGGCAGTGCCAGATATATATATATATATAGGTGTATTTGCGGCGAGGTGGTGGCTGACAGGTACGGTCACCATGGCCTACTCTGCCAAAGCACAGGGGGATGGCACTCGAGGCACAGTGAAGTTAACGACATCATCAAGAGGAGCCTCACCACAGCTGGATGCCCAGCTGAAAGAGAGCCCCGTTACCTAACGCCCCGTAACTCTGATGCTCTTATTGGTCGCCCGGATGGTATCACAGTGAACCCCTGGAAGAATGGCAAGCAGTTGGTATGGGACTACACGTGCGTATCAACCCTGGCTAACACCTACATTAACCTCAGTGTTGCACAACCAGGTGGCGCTGCCACCCACAGGGAAGCAGCCAAATCCCGTAAGTATAGAGAACTGGATCACCACTACAATTTTGTCCCCATTGCTTCTGAGACGCTCGGCGCCTGGGGTAAAAGTGCTACCAGTTTTTTGAAGGAACTGGGTTCTAGGCTCATTGAAACAACAAGGGACCCGAGAGCTGCAAGCTTTCTTTTCCAGCGCCTCAGTGTGGCGATACAAAGGGGAAATGCGCACTGCATCCAGGGTTCCTGCCCGCCATCTGAGGAGCTGGAGGAACTCGACAACCTATGACAACCATCTTTGTAACCCATATGTAACTCCTTTTTTGTAACAAAGTTCAAATAAAGTAAATATATATGTGTACATACAAAAGAATGGGGGTGGTAGGAGAAGATAATATTAGTGTTCAGTGAGAAACCACAAGGTCTCCTCTGAATACTTTTTATTTTCTTCTCCGAGGCTATGGGTCCCCACATTGGCACCAGAGGTGGTACCCTCACAAACTTTACAAAAAAAAAAAAAAATATATATATATATATATATATATATATATATATATATATATATATATATATATATATATATATATATATATATATATATATATAATATATTAAGATCACCACTACCTCCCCTAAATTCTACACACATAACAAGAAGATTTGGGTCCCGTGTGTGTGTTAGTGTGTTTTGGGACCCCCAGTAATTTTGGGGTCATTCAGGGAGGGTTAAAAAAAAGAATTGCTCAGACTGGTCTTGTCCTGTCGGGATTTATGCGTGTGTTTGGAGGCAGGAAGGTGGTTGTGAGGGAGAATGGAGACGGGGCCGTGTTTAAGGTGGGACAGTGGAGACAGTGTTCCTTGTGTGGACGGGTGAGGGATGGGTGGACGGGCGAGGGATGGGTGGACAGGGGTTTGAGTATAGAGGTGTTTACCTTTGTTGTGCTCGTGGGAGGGTTGAGCTTCGGCTCTTTGGTCCCGTCTCATGCCGACTGTAGGAGACCATAAGGGAAACATCAGGTCCACGTTGACTTAATTTCAGGGGGTGAATTCATTGATTATTGGGAGTGGATAATAGCTTTTTTTCTCCCCTTGCTTCCTGAAGCCTCAGACCTCCTTATTATCCTCCATTTCTATTATCCATCCATATCCATTTATCTATGGATTACCCTCCAGGTAATGATTGACTTGTCTTATGTATAATGTTGATGAACGTGTTTCAAGCGCTAATATATGTGTGTTTGTGTTGCAGGTAAGGTGGTGTCCGTCGAGGCTGGGGGCTCGAACTTGGTCTTGCTTTGAGGCCTCTCCATGCACGTGTCTACTGAGGATGGGGTTGGGGGGAGGGGGTTCTACCCTCGCAGCTCATCCAAATAGTCAGTAGAATGTGCTCATTGTGAGTGTTTATTATTTTGCACTGAAATTACCATTTGTTTAATGAAACACTTGGATTTTGTCAACGAAGATGAGTAGAGGAAGATGTTATATTGAGTATGAGGTGAGATGTCATTGTCAGCTGAGCTCTGTGTGACTATATATGGCACTTGGAAGGGATAGGAGGATATGGTTTACGGGCTCACCATAGCCCGTGCTACATGGACACTTCGTTCTGAGTAGCTAAATCTGAAACAACAACAACAACAGGACAGGACAAAAGTTACAGCCCCGCTCCTGTGCCAGGCAAGCCCACTACGGGCTCACCATAGCCCGTGCTACTTGGAACTTTTTGTTCCCAGTAGCTGAATCTTCAATAACAACTACGGATAGGAGAAGGAGCTGGGATATGAGGACAGGGATCAGGGATAGGACGGTGTGGAATTTAAGGAATGATGCCCAACCACTTGGGCATATTGGGAGATGATTGGGAGGCTGGGGTTTACCCTGTGGATCTAATAGCAGAGTATCTTGGTTTACCTTGCTGTGCTTTCTTAATTGCATCTCCCGGGTGAGCAGGCTACAGCTCCGGAGCCCCGACAATTTTCTGGAATTAATATACTTTCAATGCACACAGAGAGTAATAATCACTAACTTGATTGCATCTACAGATTTGTTCATGTTTTCAATATCAGTCTCTCTCTGTCTCTCTCTCTCTCTCTCTCTCTCTCTCTCTCTCTCTCTCTCTCTCTCTCTCTCTCTCTCTCTCTCTCTCTCTCTCTCTCTCTCTCTCTCTCTCTCTCTCTCTCTCTCTCTCTCTCTCTCTCTTTAGTTTGTCTCTCTAAAGACAAACTCTTCAGCACGGGTGGAACACGAACAAGGGGACACAGATGGAAACTTAGTACCCAGATGAGCCACAGAGATATTAGAAAGAATTTTTTCAGTGTCAGAGTTGTTAACACATGGAATGCATTAAGTAGTGTTGTGGTGGAGGCTGACTCCATACACAGTTTCAAATATAGATATGATAGAGCCCAATAGGTTCAGGAATCTGTACACCAGTTGATTGACAGTTGAGAGACGGGACCAAAGAGCCAGAGCTCAACCCCCGCAAACACAACTAGGTGAGTACACACACACACACACACACACACACACACACACACACACACACACACACACACACACACACACACAAGGGGCCTCGTAGCCTGGTGGATAGCGAGCAGGATTCGTAATTCTGTGGCGCGGGTTCGATTCCCGCACGAGGCAGAAACAAATGGGCAAAGTTTCTTTCACCCTAAATGCCCCTGTTACCTAGCAGTAAATAGGTACCTGGAAGTTAGTGTTAGTAAACAGTTGATTGACAGTTGAGAGGCGGGCCGAAAGAGCAAAGCTCAACCCCCGTAAGAACACAACTAGTAAACACACACACACACACACACACACACACACACACACACACACACACACACACACACACACACACACACACACACACACACACACACACACACACCTGACCTTAAACGGAATTAACACCTTTCTCTGCCCCCCCCCCCCCTGCTTCCTCAGTGTTATTTCACACCTGTATTTCCCCTCTCATTTCCCCTCTTTTAATCCTAGTAATTTGATCCACTGTACACTTCTTAAGGTGCTAATATTTAACAATGGGTTTAACATTGTTATTTTTGCGAAGCCAGATGTGTGACGGGGGAGTGGAGGAGGTGTGAAAAAGTCCTATTTAGTCTTGGTGTTGTGGGAAAACGTCCTTTTGAAAGTTTTAAAGTCAGCCCGTCCTCAGGCTGGGTTCATTCCATCCAGCGGTCGACCCCAAAGACGCATTTATCCATTTTATAATGTTATTCATTCAAAATTGGAATTTATTTTCAAATAAATATATTTTACGTGTTAGCATAGTGTGTATATTTAGGCGTTGATCAGGTAAGGTGCTTGGGTTCTATTGGCGATTAGAAATACGTGGGTGAAGCATTTACAGCAACCCGTCCTCGACTCAAGTCCATTACATCCAGCGGTCGACCCCACAGACGCATTCATAAATTTTAGTATGCTGTTCATTCAAAACGGGAATTTTCTCAAGTATAAATTAATATTATAATATATTAGCATATTGTGCATATATAGGCATAGGTTAGGTTAGGTGTTTAGGTTGTGTTGGCGATTATTTGTATTTGTAGTACGTGGGTGAAGCATTTATAGCGTTGTGGTTCGAACAAAATTCGTCATCGAAGCACTTTTTCCGGATATGTTCGAACGTCAGCAATTGTGAGACGTGTGTAAACCGCTTTTCATTCATAAACAGGGGGTTTGGCGGGTGCATGGAATCACTTTTGGATCTTTGTTTGGAGGACGGGCTGCTGGAACATACCTGGAGAGGGTTCTGAGAGTTCTTCTACTCCCCCGAACCCCCCTATCTTTGGGGCTGGTCGCTGGATAGACGAGCCGCTCTTGAATTGCCACTACGTCTCAAAACCCCACCTCCTAACCTAACCAGAAACATTCGAACCCCGAGCAACCCATCTAACCTATCCAGTCCAATAGATAGAAAACGGCCTCCTAATAGAACGCCGCATTTTGACGTAGTGTACTCTTACCTAAAGCCAAAAATCGTCGTACTAGATAATAGAAGCGGCTCACGAAATTGACATTCTGTCACTGTTTTCTGTTTTGGGTCCTCTGGTATAGATTAGGATAAGCGGCACTTTTAGTACGACACTTTCTTGACGTTGGGGTGGCTGGGGGGCGGACCTTAGGAGGCCGGGGCCGAGTTGTGACTCGTATCTCTAACGTGGGTCAAACCCATAACGTACAAAATGCGACCTACTAGCGGAGAGGACGGGATGAGGCGGCGCGAGGAACGCCGCTTAGAAGAACTTGTGAGTGTAACGAGAGCTCAAAAGAGTCGTTATCTCCGTGTTTTTCTTGTGTGTGGATTACAGGTTCAGGGTAATGGCTTGTTTGCGCACAATGGGTGGTAATTGGCGGGTTGTGTGTGTGTGTCGGGGGGGGGGTGATGGCTGTTGAGGGCGACACCGGCTGTTTAGAGCGCAGTTTAGAGCGCGGTCTAGATGATCCGCGCAGCCGAGATATTTACGGCAAGGAGAGGTTGGTGGAACTAAGATGATGTTAATAGACTTGATTGCACGGAGACTTGTGATTCACGGGAAGCCCAAGGCGGTGATGAGACGAATTGTGATGGAACAAGTCAAGTGAGACACTTGAGAATAGAGTGCAAGATATCAATTGAGAATAGAGTGCAAGATATCATTTGAGAATAGATATAGCAAGTTGTAACAACGTTCTAATACGTCATAAACGTTAAGCCAAGATGTAACAACTTTATTACAAGTTGTAACAAGCGGAAAATAGAGACAGTTACGGTTTGTGTTTCCAGGCAAGATATCAGTTGAGAATAGAGTGCAAGATATCAGTTGATGCTATGAATAACTATGATTCTACGAACAATCCTGTGATGTTAAAGGACTCTTGTATTACTAGGGAGTGACAGCTGAAAAGGGGAGGAGGGGGGGAGTGGAGACTTTAGGCCTATGGTTTCAGTAGTGAGGATTTAGGTAATATGTCGTTCGGGGGAATTTATTGTGGGTAATTTACACACCAGGTAATGGGACAACAGGTGTGTGTGTGTGTGTGTATGCTCACCTAGTTGTGCTTGCGGGGGGTTGAGCTCTGGTCTTTGGTCCCGCCTTAAGACCAAGGTGTGTGTGTGTTTCTTTTGTTGTTAAAATTGTTCCCATGTTATGGTGGCTGTAGGTACCCTTTAAACACCCCTCCCAGCCCCCCCCCCTCCACCTTGTGTATACCCGTGTATGGGCTCACTAGCGCCCCCTGGGGAGAGATTTGGGTCGTGAAAGAATGAAAACAAGGCGAGGGGTAAGAGGGTGCCGGTGTGAGGGGGCAGCAAGGGGGGGGGGGTGTTGGGGAGGGCTGGGGGAAGGGGGGAAGTGCTTACCTAGCAGTGACCACGGGGGGGGGGGTGTTGGGGAGGGCTGGGGAAGGGGGGAAGTGCTTACCTAGCAGTGACCACGGGGGGGGGGGGGTGTGGAAGGGGGAGGGGGGAAGCAAGGTTCAACTATCTCTGACCCCCGCCGACTATAGCCTTTGTTCAACCTGTTGTATTATAGTTTATGGAACTTGACTGATTTTATAAGAGTTCTTTGATGTCTCGTCAGGTCTTAAGGTTATGGGTGGAGGTGGCTTCCACATCTTCTTTAAGTGCATTCCATTTGTTGGCCCCTCCGTACAGGGTATGAGTATTTCCTTACATTCCTTTGGCGTATTTTTTTTCTCTTGTCCTATATTCTCTCACTTTTAAAAAGATGGTCCTTATGCTGTTTGTGTGGTTATCTTGAGGTTATCTTGAGGTGATTTCGGGGCTTTAGTGTCCCCGTGGCCCGGTCCTCGACCAGGCCTTCACCCCCAGGAAGCAGCCCGCGACAGCTGACTAACACCCAGGTACCTATTTTACTGCTAGGTAACAGGGGCATAGGGTGAAAGAAACTATGCCCATTGTTTCTCGCCGGCGCCCGGGATCGAACCCGGGACCACAGGATCACAAGTCTAGTGTGCTGTCCTCTCGGCCGACCGGCAAGTGGTAAGTATATCTTGGATGTAGTTATCATGTCCCTGTTTATCTCTTCTTTCCACTAGGATTGTGAGGTTTGGTTCTCTTAATCTGTACTGGTGGTTGAGTTCTCTCAAGTAATCCAGGGACTTGTTTGGTTGCAAATCTGTTGGTTTGTTAAAGTTCAGAGTTCTGTTTCACGCGATGCGGATTTTGTGGGTGCTGCATATTCTAGTACTGGTCTCACATACGTTGTATAGCTTGTCTTGAAGAAGGTTTATATTTGCTTGCCTTTAATGCTGCTAATTTTAGCCTATTTTGTATACTTCCGGTGTTGGAATTATATTACATCCCCCAAGTATTTTTTTTCCCCTCTTCCAATTGCTGTATTACCTTCCCTTATGGTGTAGACGCCCCCTGGTGTCATGTGTTCATTTCCTATCCTCATTACCTTACACTTGTTAGGGTTGAACTCTAGCAACCAATTGCCTGCCCACTCCTGGAGCTTGTCGAGGTCTTCCTGTAGTTCTAAGCAGTCCTCTTCGCTCATCACATTCCTCGTTATTTTGTCATCATTTGCATATCCAGTTGATATGTGGGTCTGCGGGTCGCATCAAGCAACAGCCTGTTGGACCAAGCTCTCTCAGGTTGAGCCTGGCCTAGGGTCGGGCTCGGGGGGAGGAGGAGAACTCTGGAAACAATCTACAGGTATACTATAACGCCCTCGGGAGATTTCCCCTTTTTTAAGTTAGGAACAGTAATAGTACGAAGCCCAGGCCTCGGTGGACCCAACTTCTCACATCCCTCCGGTGCCATACCTCCTCTCTGTGTGTGTGTGACCCTCTGTTTCCCGCCCGTCCGGAACTCCCCTTTTTCCAGTTCAGTATTTTCTCAGTAATCGCAGCTTGTTTCTCCATATTGTGCACACCAACCTGGTTTAAGGAACGGTATCAAAGGCGTTTTGGCAATCAAGGAAGATTCAGTCTACCCAGCCTTCTTCGTCCTGTCTTGTGTGGCAATAGAACTCTTATGAAGTTTGTTGGGCATGTTGGGTGAGGCCAGTGACTACCTTATTCTCTTGCGTTACTTGTGGTCGTCTATGGGGAGGAGAGAGGGGGTGTTGGGGAGAGGGGAGGAGAGAGGAACAGGACAGAATTGAGGGAAATTCGAAGGGTTGAAGGATATAGAGGGGAGAGGGGGACTAGAGGATGTGTTTGACAGGAAGAGGGAGAGAGGAAGAGAGGAAGAGAGAGGAGGGGCGTTATATATAGGGGCTGCTGGAGAAGACCAGGAGGAGGAGGAGAGAGAATTTTCAGTTGTTTTATGATCCTGTGTTCCCCCACAGTACAGTACATCACCCACTTCCATACCATATGGAGGAAAATGTAGAATAGAACCAGTGAAGAGCAGGGGTGCCATGGGCACAGAGAACACTGTATACACATCAGGGGTCCACGGTTATAATAATAATAATACTTAGAATATTTTATTCAGGAAAAGTACATTCATAGATGCAGAGTTACAAACATACTGTTGGATTTATAGATAGAGCTAGTTCTGTACATTCTGTACATACAATACCTAAAGCCACTAAACGCACAACGTAATGGAACAACGCGTGGGGGGGGGAACACTCAGACTAAAACTTAATAGTAATTGGTAGGAAAGTAAAAATTGCGAAAAAAGAAAACGGGAGAACATGGCAGAAATCAGCAGTTGTATAAGTTGGTCAACAAACAGCATTGTTTAGAAGCAAGACATGGGTTGACATTTAGGGGGTAAGGTAGGTTACATGGAGGTAATTAGGTAGTACTTAGTTCTACTCTTGAACTGGTTGAGGGAGGTACAGCCTTTGACATGATTGGCAAGGTCATTCCACATTCTGGGTCCCTTGAATTGTAGAGCATTTCTAGTTTGGTTAAGTCGCACTCTTGGAATATCAAATAGGTATTTGTTTCTGGTGTGGTGCCCCATGGGTTCTGTTACAACCTTCTAGGTAACTTTTAAGGTCAGGATTGACATTGCAGTTCAGAGTTTTAAATATATAGAGTACACATGAGAGGATGTGCAGTGACTTAATATCTAACATATTCAGAGATTTGAGTAAGGGTACCGAGTGATGTCTGGGGCCAGAGTTAGATATTGTTCTAATAGCAGCTTTGTGTTGGGTAATTAGAGGACGTAAATGATTTTCTGTAGTAGAACCCCAAGCACAAATACCATAGTTGAGATAAGGATAGATAAGGGAGTAATGGGGCGTCACCAGGGCAGGGTGAGGTACATAATATCTGATCTTAGAAAGAGTGCCAATAGTTTTAGAAACTTTTTTGGTCAACATTCTTCCAGCGACTATAAGAAATATTGCCGGGACAACTGTGGACATCTTCAAGAGAAAACTAGATCATTTTCTCCAAGGAGTGCCGGACCAGCCGGGCTGTGGTGGGTATGTGGGCCTGCGGGCCGCTCCAAGCAACAGCCTGGTGGACCAAGCTCTCACAAGTCAAGCCTGGCCTCGGGCCGGGCTTGGGGGAGTAGAAGAACTCCCAGAACCCCATCAACCAGGTACCCGCTTTACTCCATTTCCTCCCCCCCTTATCCCCTCCCCCACCCCCCGTCATCCCCCTTCCCCCCAAAGTCTCTTCCCCTTACTATTCCTACAGGCTCGTGCACCCCCCTCTCCCTTACCCCTTTGAATACTACAGTACATTGGCTACTGGTGTTCTATTCTTTATAGACGAGAACCCAGTGAACAGTTTTTGTTCATAGAGAGAGAGAACAGTTCTCCTTGTGAACTATGAACAGCGGTGTTGTAGCGACCATGGTGTGACCAGAGACGCCTGGAGCACCATGACTATCTGAACATACAACCACTCTTCACCGGACTACCAGAATGGCCTCACGCGGGTCGTTATAAAGGCTTTCTACAGGTCGTGTTGTCCCAAGATGCTTATTGACCTACCAGGTGGGTGGGGAGCACGACCATGGTAACGCTATACGACTCCTACCTTGAGGCTACCTTGAGGTGCTTCCGGGGCTTAGTGTCCCCGCGGCCCGGTCGTCGACCAGGCCTCCTGGTTGCTGGACTCCTGGACTCCCTGGAAGATTTACGACAAGACGCCTCGCTCCACCAGTTGGGGGCCCAAGAGCTGGGGTCTACTCGAGGGCGGCCCGGCACCGCAATATATTAGTCTAAGAATCCCCCTCCTCCCCCCCCATTCCTATACAGAATGACTGTTACAAGAAGTTTCTTATATCGTGTTCTTATATCGTGTTCTTATGTTCTTATGTTCGTATATTCTTTTATCGTGTTATTGCGTCGCATCAGAGTATAAGTAGCGGTACTTAAGAGTAATGCTTTCTTGGTAAATGTTACAGGGGGAACGACTTTAACAACCATGCAGGTTGTTAACGACCCACACGGCGGCGTGGCTCGTCCGGTGGCGGGAATTCTGTTGGCCAATCAGAATCCCCGGGCTAGGCAATGAGTACAGGTCACAGAACCTGGGCAGGGCAGTACTCTATACTCTCCCTCCCTGTCGACCTGGCCTAGTTGTGTGACCAGCCGTAGGGCGAAATTGTGACGAGGTGATCCACTCTCTTCTGAAATACGACCCGGGGAAGATGGCGACTGTCGACGCCGTTGGGAGTGTTAGACATCTACCGTCGACATCAGGATGATAATATTGAGCCACGAGAAGGTAGAAAAGTTCTAGAGACGATTGCGTTAGCTGTATGTATATACCGTCGTGTCAGTGTAGTTGGCCGAGGGTCTCAAGAACTGTCTTGCTATTACGTAGTGGATACAGGCAAGAGAAGTACAAGGGTTCGGAAGAGAACCTTTATCACTGAGTAACGCTGCTCTCTTTGTTATTGTACTCAATATATATATAACTGTCCATCTAATATACAGTGTCCAGTAATGTGTATATATAACTCGACATATAGTAGAGTGAAGTATAGTAGAAGTGACTCGAACCCATACTACCAGGAGCAACGCAACTGGTATGTACAGGACGCCTTATTTCAGCTTTGCAACCATACTTCCCCCCGAACCCAAAGACTTTGGTTTCCCGGAAGCTGCCCGTCGGGTCTTGGGAATAACGCCGGCGGATCGCTAGTTGGCATCGTTTATGGTTAGCACTAGGGCGGTATTTGATCGCCTTCGAACCTCTAACTTTCGTTCTTGATTAATGACGTTTTTGGGTAATATTGATAAATACCCATGACCAAATTGTACCTATATTTTTTTGTCCTTAGTCAGGGCTCGGTTATGTACGTGTGTCGCACCTAACAAGAAGTCTGGCTGAGGACGACGATACCTGACTAAGTCAGAGGACTACATTCGGATAACACCAGATTTATCGGCCCGGCTCCGCAATACATTAGTCTTAAAATCCTCCCCATTCCTATACAAAACTGTTTTTTTTTAACGTGATGAGCATCTATTTTTGTTTGTGTTTATATGTAATATTGTAGTTAGGTTTAAATTTAAATTTTAAATTTTGCCCCGAGGGGCGAGTTTATTGGGCAGCGCCACTCATCTTGTGAGTGGACCTAACGCCATAGCAGCATGTACAACACTCCCCAATAGGAAGAAAACCCGCTGGGTTGTTCATCCTGTCACTTGTACCCAGACACAGCTGGGACTTGCTTAACTGTCTCAAGTGAACAGCTCCTCAAACAAGAAGATTAACATCTATCAACCCTTGAAAGCTTACGTTATCTTGCGGGTGCAAAATGGGGAAATCTTTTAAGAACAGCATCAATATTTGACAAATAGTGTTTTCCTAACTCAAACAATGTGGGGTTTATTATTCTACACATATTTCTGATATCTCTCAGGTGTTCACATTCACGTAGATAGTGGTCAAGGCGGTGTCCGTCACTCTCACCACAGATTCTGCAACTTCGCTGATCAACTGTTGTTTCCATTCCATACCTCCAAGGATATTTGTATAGGTGTCTTAAGTAATTGTCTGTCTGTGGCCACCACGACGCCTCGCTCTCCCCTCAACCCCTTCCCCCTCACTCTCCCCTCACCCCTTCCCCCTCACTCTCCCCTCACCCCTTCCTCTTCCCCCTCACTCTCCCCTCACCAGACAGTGAAGAACACCCACTCATACTCCCACATTATTATAGTCGATGAGTTCAGTTTTTTGTTTCTTTAGTTTGGCAACATACCATAAGTGGTAAGAGAGAGAGAGAGAGAATGGGTACGAATGAGGGGAAACGCCAAGAAAACGGAGAGAACCATTGACGACGAGGGAAGGAGGGGGGAGAGAGAGGTAAAGGTAGGTGAGAAAAGGGGTAAGGGAGGTGCACGCTTGCCTGTCTCGCTAATAGTTTCGGTCGTGTTTATAGACTTTTTAGGTCAAAAATTTTTAAGCTACAAAAAAATAATGGGGTAAAAGGTAGTGCTGTGTTTTACACTGTGTGGTGTGAGTATACTTTTAGCTGGTCCCCCAACACACACAGACACACACACACACACACACACACACAGGGTGTAGGTGTGTATACCTGTACCTTAGTCATACCCAGGGAGGGGGGGGGCCTCCTGTATGACTACCACACCCTATCTCTCTCTCTCTATGTTCTCTATTTCTCTCTCTCTCTTTCTCTCTCTTTCTCTCTCTCTCTCTCGTTTTTACTTTACATGGATACGTCCAGATGAAACACACACACACACACACACACCACACACACACACACACACACACACACCTGGGGGCTTGGTGGATAGCGCGCAGGACTCGTTATTCTGTGGTGCGGGTTCGATTCCCGCACCCGGCAGAAACAAATGGGCAAAGTTTCTTTCACCATGAATGCCCCTGTTACCTAGCAGTAAATAGGTACCTGGGAGTTAGTCAGCTGTCACGGGCTGCTTCCTGAGGTAGGTGTGTGTGTGTGGTGGGGGGGGGGGGAGTCGTTACCTTGAGGTACTTCCGGGGATCAACGTCCCCGCGGCCCGATCCTCGACCAGGGCACCTGGTTGCTGGACTGATCAACCAGGCTGTTGGACGCGGCTGCTCGCAGCCTGACGTATGAGTCACTGCCTGGTTGATCAGGTATCTTTTGGAGGTGTTTGTCAAGTTCTCTCTTGAACACTGTGAGGGGTCGGCCAGTTATGTCCCTTATGTGTAGTGGAAGCGTGTTGAACAGTCTCGGGCCTCTGATGTTGATAGAGTTCTCTCAGAGTACCTGTTGCACCTCTGCTCTTCAATGGGGGTATTCTGCACATCCTGCCATGTCTTCTGGTCTCGTGTGCTGTTATTTCTGTGTGCAGGTTTGGGACCAGTCCCTCTAATATCGTCCACGTGTAGATTATTATGTATCTCTCCTACCTGCGCTCAAGACAATACAGATTTATAACTTTTAATCGGTCCCAATAACCAAGAAGACTTATAAGAGTGGATTCTAGCGGAAAGGATCTTGGCTACTATTGATTTTCTCAAAGATCAGGCTAATGTCATGCCTTTGTGCATAATCTATAAACTACAGTAAAGGCCAATGGCCGCATTTATCACACACACACACTATATACCTGTTAACTCTACAAGTATATGCTTTATCCTATCTCTCCCCCCCCCCCACCCTCTCTCTCCTTTCTCCTCTCCCCCCTCTTTCCCTCCCCCTCTCTCCTCTCTCTCTCCCACCTCCTTTCTGCTCCCTCTCTGGCTCCTATACCGCCCTCTTCCCTCTCCCCATCTCTTCCTCTCTTCCTCAGAGGTAAATATATGCATATTTATATATATGTCGTACCTAGTAGCCAGAACGCACTTTTCAGCCTACAATGCATGGCCCGATTTGCCTATTAAGCCAAGTTTTCCTGAATTAATATATTTTCTCAAATTTTTTTCTTATGAAATGATAACGCTACCCATTTCATTATGAGGTCAAATTTTTTTTATTGGAGTCAAAATTAACGTAGATATATGACCGAACCTAACCAACCCTACCTAACCTATCTTTATAGATTAGGTTAGGTAGCCGAAAAAGTTAGGTTAGGTAGGTTAGGTAGTCGAAAAAACATTAATTCATGAAAACTTGGCTTATTAGGCAAATCGGGCCTTGCATAGTAGGCTGAGAAGTGCGTTCTGGCTACTAGGTACGACATTATATATATATATATATATAATATATATATATTGTATATATATATTATATATATATATCTCCGTAAGGAGGCAGATCCTTCCCTCTCTCCCCTCACGTTATAGGCGACTATACTAGTTCTTGCCCGGGATGTCCTGGATCAAGCAGGCTGTGGTGGTACTTTGGCTTGCGGACTGCACATGCCCTCATAGCTAGACTGACCAGATGTGGTGGTCTTGTGGTGGATTGGTGGATGTATCGGCGTTGTAGCGTTGATTGGTGGATGTATCGGCGTTGTGGCGTTGATTGGTGGATGTATCGGCGTTGTGGCGTTGATTGGTGGATGTATCGGCGTTGTGGCGTTGATTGGTGGATGTATCGGCGTTGTGGCGTTGATTGGTGGATGTAGCGGCGTTGTGGCGTTGATTGGTGGATGTAGCGGCGTTGTAGCGTTGATTGGTGGATGTATCGGCGTTGATTGGTGGATGTAGCAGCGTTGTGGCGTTGATTGGTTGATGTATCGGCGTTGTGGCGTTGATTGGTTGATGTATCGGCGTTGTGGCGTTGATTGGTTGATGTATCGGCGTTGTGGCGTTGATTGGTGGATGTATCGGCGTTGTAGCGTTGATTGGTGGATGTATCGGCGTTGTGGCGTTGATTGGTGGATGTATCGGCGTTGTGGCGTTGATTGGTGGATGTATCGGCGTTGTGGCGTTGATTGGTGGATGTATCGGCGTTGTGGCGTTGATTGGTGGATGTATCGGCGTTGTGGCGTTGATTGGTGGATGTAGCGGCGTTGTGGCGTTGATTGGTGGATGTAGCAGCGTTGTGGCGTTGATTGGTGGATGTAGCAGCGTTGTGGCGTTGATTGGTGGATGTAGCAGCGTTGTGGCGTTGATTGGTGGATGTAGCAGCGTTGTGGCGTTGATTGGTGGATGTAGCAGCGTTGTGGCGTTGATTGGTGGATGTAGCAGCGTTGTGGCGTTGATTGGTGGATGTAGCAGCGTTGTGGCGTTGATTGGTTGATGTATCGGCGTTGTGGCGTTGATTGGTTGATGTATCGGCGTTACAATTGCCCAACCCAATTTTGTATAGGCCTAAATTCCTTCCTGCGCCCCTTCTGAGCTCCTTGTAATAGACTTGGACCGTTTTAGGTGGTACCTATAGTATACCTGGGACGTGTTTCGAGAGTTCTTCTACTTCCCCCCTCCCTCCCCCCCCCCCTACGCCCGGGGATAGGCTCGACTTGTGACAACTTGGTGCATCAGGCTGTTGTTGCTAGGAGCGGCCCGGTAGCATGTCCGTGTGAGGGCTTCTTCAATACGGCCATTGTTGTTCAATCAATATTTCTTCCGTTTGTTGGGGGGGTTATTGTAGAGGCGAGGATGTTCATACAGTGTTCTCTGATGTTCATACAGTGTTCTCTGTGCCTGTGGGACTTCTGGTACTCATAAGTGCCGGGGACTGTATCTATAAGGATTTGGGTTGGGACGGGGAGGGAAGGAATGGTGTCCAACCACTTGTGGACGGTCGGGGGATTGAACGCCGACCCGCATGAAGCGAGACCGTCGCTCTACCGTCCAGTCAAAGTGGTTGGACTGCTCAAGAGAGAGAACTGGATAAACACCTCCAAAGTAAGTATACCTGATCAACCAGGCTGTGATTCGTACGTCAGGCTGCGAGCAGCCGCGTCCAACAGCCTGGTTGACCAGACGACCAACCGCGAGGCCTGGTCGGAGACCGGGCCTCAGGGCCTTTTGATCCCCGCAAGGTAGGCATAGCCTGAAGCACGCTTACCAAACGGTGACCGGGCCTCAGGGCCTTATGATCCACGCAAGGTAGGCATAGCCTGAAGCACGCTTACCAAACGGTGACCGGGCCTCGGGGCCTTTTGATCCACGCAAGGTAGGCATAGCCTGAAGCACGCTTACCAAACGGTGACCGGGCCTCAGGGCCTTTTGATCCCCGCAAGGTAGGCATAGCCTGAAGCACGCTTACCAAACGGTGCCTGCGGGAGAGCGCGGGCTCTAGCTCCCCACGCCCGGCTCTCCAGTGTGGGAGTGCTGGGTCCGCCTGGAGGTGGCGCTGATATATATGGCATGGCGGCCAATTACGAAGCTTGTATAGGAAATGACATCGTTAGGTGTCATCAGTGTGGCATCCCGTCGGGCGGCGGAGGGCCAGTCAGTGCCAGGGGAGGTGGCGGGGAGCCGTAAGGGCGTGCTGGGTAGGCACGAGTGATGCCTTACTCGGCCCTAACAGCCCCGTTGATCCGCCGTGTGAACAGCGGCACTTTAGAGGCGCGGCCGGTAACGTGCGGCGGCTGTGTTTATACCGGGGCGAGGGGTAGATGGTTGCTGGGGGGGGGGCTTCTCTCTTGCTGGGGGAGAGGGGGGGGTCTGCTCTCCTGCTGGGGGAGAGGGGGGGGTCTGCTCTCCTGCTGGGGGAGAGGGGGGTCTGCTCTCCCTGCTGGGGGAGAGGGGGGTGGGTCTGCTCTCCTGCTGGGGGAGAGGGGGGTCTGCTCTCCTGCTGGGGGAGAGGGGGGGTCTGCTCTCCTGCTGGGGGAGAGGGGGGTCTGCTCTCTTGCTGGAGAAGGGGGGGGTCTGCTCTCCTGCTGGGGGAGAGGGGGGGTCTGCTCTCCTGCTGGGGGAGAGGGGGGGTCTGCTCTCCTGCTGGGGGAGAGGGGGGGTCTGCTCTCCTGCTGGGGGAGAGGGGGGGGTCTGCTCTTCTGCTGGGGAGAGGGGGGGTCTGCTCTCCTGCTGGGGGAGAGGGGGGGTCTGCTCTCCTATTGGGGGAGAGGGGGGGTCTGCTCTCCTGCTGGGGGAGAGGGGGGTCTGCTCTCCTGCTGGGGGAGAGGGGGGGTCTGCTCTCCTGCTGGGGGAGAGGGGGGGTCTGCTCTCCTGCTGGGGGAGAGGGGGGGTCTGCTCTCCTGCTGGGGGAGAGGGGGGGTCTGCTCTCCTGCTGGGGGAGAGGGGGGTCTGCTCTCTTGCTGGAGAAGGGGGGGGTCTGCTCTCCTGCTGGGGGAGGTACTGTGTCACTCTGTCAACTCTTAGCATACGGCTAAAAGTATTCACTAACCAACTGTACTGTTTGTCAGAAAACAGCTCTGTCCCACTCTGTGTAGGACAGACGGAAATGTGTGCGTGTCCTGTCTGGTCTGTGGGCCAGGCTTTCCCCCTGGTGATTGTCTGGTCTGTGGGCCAGGCTTTCCCCCTGGTGATTGTCTGGTCTGTGGGCCAGGCTTTCCCCCTGGGGATTGTCTGGTCTGTGGGCCAGGCTTTCCCCCTGGGGATTGTCTGGCCTGTGGCCAGGCCCTTTCCCCCCCCCCCCCTGGGGATTGTCTCACCCCACCTGAAGCAACAGGTGATGAGTTAGTTGCTGGGTACTCCGTCTCTTTGGCAGATATAACACGAGTTAGTTGCTCATGCAATGTTTGCAACTAACTCATTAGCGATCTGCTAGATTCGGATGTTTTGCAAGTGCCTCCTTCCCCCCCCCCCTCAGGGCGAACAGCGTAGTTACTGGTGGTTGGCACAGATAATGGAGAGTAGTTAATAGTAGTTAATAGGGTGTCGTTAGCACCAGATCATCAATCACCTGGTCTATATCTCTGGCTCCTTGTCTCGCGTGCGCGAGCTATCGGGCGCGCGAGATATCGCGTAAGGGAGTGATTAGGAATCCAATCTCAAAGTTTTATGGAAAGCAATGACCTCCACAAGCCTGGTCAGCGTGGATTTAGAGCGGGAAGATCCTGTCTTTAGCATATACTCAACCACTGTGACAAAATCACAAGAGCCATTGGAAGAAAAATAAAATGCATTGTGTTGCAAAGACCTTGGACAAGTGTGACCATGGAGTGATAGCCCATACAGTGAGATCAATAGGAATAACGGGTAAAGTGGGGCGGTGGATTTGCAACTTTCTGTCAAACAGAATGCAGAGAGTGACGGTCAGTCAAGCAAGATCAAGCCCAAGTGCAGTGAAAAGCTCTGTACCTCAAGGCACAGTCCTGGCACCGCTGCTGTTTGTCATTCTTATCTCGGATCTAAACAAATATATTAGTCACAGCTTCGTGTCATCCTTTGCAGATGATACAAAAATCAGCATGAACATTTTCTCTGTAGAAGACACTGAAAAATTACAAGCCGATATGAATAACGTCTTTGATTGGGCAGCTGAAAAAAACATGTGTTTAACGTTGATGATCTTGAGGTTATCTTGAGATGATTTCGGGGCTTAGCGGCCCCGCGGCCCGGTCCTCGACCAGGCCTCCTTTTTTTGTTACGCCCCCCTCCCCTAGGAAGCAGCCCGTAGCAGCTGTCTATCTCCCAGGTACCTATTTACTGCTAGGTGAACAGGTGCATCAAGGTGAAAGAAACTGCCCATTTGTTTCCGCCTCCCACCGGGGATTAAACCCGGAACCTCGGGACTACGAACCCCGAGCACTCTCCACTCAGCTGTCAGGGCCCCCCAACCGCAACATGTAAAAGATCTGGAGATTATGATGTTTGACGACCTGACATTTTGATTATGAGAACACTGGGTGTTCTGGTGATAGTTTGATCATTCAGACTGTTGCTGATCGCGGCTCGCAGGAAAAGCGCCATGACCACCCATCAAATTATGTGAACATTTTGACCGTACCCCCCTCCCCACTCCCAACCCCCACCCCAACCCCCACCCCCAACCCCCACCCCCACCCCAACCCCCACCCCAACCCCCTCCCCCACCCCAACCCCCTCCCCCCTTCCGAACAGCGTTTACAGGAGCCCGTTTTCTCCACGGTACAATCGGTATCAAAGTAGTCACGAGAACGCAAATCAAAACAATCACAATAGAAAACAGATCACCGAATACAATCGCTATAAATTTCAAACAAAAATCAGATCAAAGAGACTGCTGAAAAAAAAATCTATGAATTGAGGTTTGTTTTTTCCGAGCATGTGGAGTATTGGAACGGCTTTTATTCTGTGCGACATAAACATCTTCCAATAGGACGTATAATGGATCGGGGGAAAAAGAGACACTACGCTTCCTACATCAAAGAACGCGTCAGTGACGTGTTCAGGCTTATGTAGCCCTGTCATGGAGGGGCTACACAAGCCCTCCATGGCTACCTTGGAGGGCTACCTTGCCCGGACCACCGGCGGGGGTCTAACAAGTAGCCACCTGGACTACGGCAGTTACAAAATGAGTAGCCTTAAGGACTGTATGAGTTGCGTTTGTGTAGGCAACAACACAGGCCTCGTACCTGAAGCCACATCCTCACACTCGCTCGCCTCCCTCTATTAGTTATCCAGGCCACCCCTTACTCGCCCTTCAGGCTACCGTGTACGCATTTTACAGCTAACAGAACCAACCAAAACCCAGATGACCCAGCTAACGACACAACTACTTGAAGGTTAGAAGATGGTAAGGCACTGCAACCCACCTTAGAGTTAACCGAAGGCATCATTTTCATATATCAACCTTCTCTATATATAATATATATATATTGGCAATTGAAATAAACGATTTCCAGCCCACCTTTCCCGCGCGAAACGTTTTCTTTCTCGTTTTCTATAACTCTCCCGCCAAACATCCTCGAGCCAGTGTCGCTGGAGAACAGGGGCCAGATTCATGAAAGTACTTACGCAAGTACTTACGAACGTGTACATCTTTCATCAGTCTTCGACTGCTTTGGTTACATTTATTAAACAGTTTAATTTTTTTGAGATATATACAAGAGTTGTTACATTCTTGTACAGCCACTAGTACGCGTAGCGTTTCGGGCAAGTCCTTAATCCTATGGTCCCTGGAATACGATCCCCTGCCGCGAAGAATCGTTTTTTCATCCAAGTACACATTTTGCTGTTGCGTTAAACAGAGGCTACAGTTAAGGAATTGCGCCCAGTAAATCCTCCCCGGCCAGGATACGAACCCATGACATAGCGCTCGCGGAACGCCAGGCGAGTGTCTTACCACTACACCACGGAGACTGTAAGTGTTTTCTATGAATATTTTTAGGGGTATCTATTATGTTTAGTATATCACCTATGCACGTAGTTAATAAGTCAATATTGACTTTACGAATTTGCGAGAACGGGTTGGAAGGGGA